ATTAAAAAAACGCCATGAGGATATTTGTTATTATGAACTATATTATTGGAGTAATCTTTATGAAAACTGTCCCTACTGGATTCTCATAAATAATATTGCATCATCTACAAATCCAATGCAATACTTTTTAACTGGATACATACCAGGATACAAGTACTATTTTGCTGTGAGAGCCGTTGATATTTATGGCAGACGTGGCCATTTTATCAAACAACACATAAGACTATAAATATCATTATTATTAATACATATAATGAAATGGATAATTTTTCTTTCTTTTTTTGCTCAACATATTATTTTATTTATAATTTAAATTATCAAAAAAAATGTGTTTCTCAATATCTAATACATAATTCTTCGAATTTCTTATTTATATTTTCAAATAATTATTAAAATTTGGTTGTAAAACATTCTATCATAACATTATGTATTTTTAGTTATTATTTTATGTCAATATTTAATAAAATAATTTTCATGTATTGAATAAGCATATTAATAAACGAAGAAATAATTAAAAAATGTTATTATATCTTGATATTCAGTTATTGAAAAAAAAAAATTGTAATGCTCTTTAAGAAATTTAAACATTATTATATGTGTTATGTAATAATATCAAATTTGAATGTATAATAAAATAACATATGTATAAATATATTGGTTATTTATAAAATATATCTTTGTTTCTTATGTTAAACTAAATTTTTTAATATACAAGGTGATTGAAATCTGGTAAGACACTCATTTTCTCAGAAAATATTGAGAATTTTAAATTTTATTATAGAGAAAAACTATCAAGTTCAAAAAACTCTACTATTATATGTAGTCAAACCATTATTTTTTTGGTCCCTTCAAGGAAAATACCCTTAATTATAATTTTCTTAAATAAGAACACTTTTTATTTTATATATTATAATTAAAACATAATTTCAAAATTGAAATTTTAAATTGATTGAATGTTTGGGTTTGTAAACTCTCATAAGTGGCTTTAAATTTTAGAAAATAGCAATTTTCTGATTCAAAATGACAATTTTTTCACAAAAAATTTACTTTTTGAACTTAAATTTTGAAAGTGTTCCGGAAAGTCTGACACTTTTATATATATCTTAAATTAAAGCTAATGTAATGTACTTTATTATGCAAAAAAAAAAAATTTCGGACTTTATTTTGTCTTCATGGTGAAAATAGTTACCGAATACTATTATTGTGTGAAAGTTCTCGATTTTATTTGTAACATTTTTAACTTTATAATGCTATAAATTAATGAAAAGTGTATGGATCAACATAATTTTTTAATTAGGTTTGATATTATAATAGGTTTCAACTAAAAATTAAATAATTGTACTGCGTAATATATTATTTTTTAACTTTATTTGTGAGTGTTACTATCAGTATATAATATTCAAATTTTTTTGTAAAATGATGCTATATAAATCCTAAATCTAAAAAAAAATGTTTTTTAGTTTCACCCGAATTAAACAAAATATGTTACAATTAAAATCAAATTTTATAACACACTCAATTGTGTGGATTTTTTTTAATAACATTTTGATTGGTTTTTAGATAAGCGAAATCATTAAAATTAATTAAGTTCTGAATATTTCAATTGTAGATTCTTTTTAAACACCAAAAATTACTTAGAAATGATTACTATGGTTCTATTTAAATGTTCTATTACAATAAAAATACAAAAAAGATGTTGAACTTTTCTGATAAATTTAGAGTAAATTGTAATTATACAATTTCCTTACTCCATATTAATCTTAAGAATACTATTTTTTATTCTCATAAAGTTTTCCGATAAATTTTAAAATTTAGTTCCCCTCTGCTCTTTCAAATAATAAATCCAAAAAAGGCAATTTTTTCTCTATTTCCTGTTCATATGGGACTTTTATCGATGGGCAAAAAAAATTGAAATGTTGTATGAAAACCTCCATATTAAAATCTATATTTATTACTTATTCATAGACATTTCGATGATGTCACTAGGTGATAAGGTCACTAGAGGTATATTATGGAGTTTTTTCTAGTCGGCGTGTCAGTATATGTTTAGCATTGATAATTGTAATATTGTTTCCAAAATACGTATGCACAACTTTCCAGTAATTTTTAGTGGCTTTTGAGTTTAATATTTTTTAGTTTTTAAATTAATAATATTTTTAATATAGTTTTAATTTTATTTAATTAATTATCCACAAGTGATCAATTTTTATTATAGAATATTTTTAAAAACATTAAGACTATTATTTGAAATATGATAAAAAATATTGTATAAGATTTTAAATTTTATGCATGAAAATTACCATACACAACAATTTTCTTCGTCAATTACTATCTATTGAATTGCTGATTCGTATTGATTTTGTTTGAATAATAAATTCACTATTATATAATTTTTAAATTTTAAGTTAAAATAAAATATATTATTTATTTATTGGGCAAATACATGGAATAATCATTTTTGCTTACTCTATTAAAAAAATTCAATGTTTTTTTAATTTCAAATAATCTACTTAAACATGAAATACTTATCGGATTTCGTAATATTTTCCCCCTTAAACGATATATTTAACCCCTTAACGATACGTTTTCGACTGACGTGCTTCGACGTGCTACTACTCGAATTCACCTGTTATTGTTCTCCTTAGAATACGATTGATCGCCCACCGGAATGTGTTGCCAATTTTGTTCTGAGTGATCACTTATCGACCGGACGCTCTGACCGAATATCCGCCCGACTCGACGAGCTTTGAGAAACGAAACCATCAAATTGTTAGACGAACCCTTCTGACACAAACCACAACAAAATTTACTGCTGTTGATAAATATAGTAGCACATTTCTTATTTTTTATACTCTAATTGCCGCGCTCCTATACCGTTAGATAGCTATACCCGTTTATTTGAATTTTATAACGAATCGTCAAGTCCTGGCGACTACATGTCACAACCGAAGCGACGTCGTGCCAAAAAAAGTATCTCCCCAAAGGCGACACTCCGTCCTTTGCGAGTTGCTTTTGTCGCCATTTCTAGATCGCAGTACAAACCTTTGGTTTCTGTAACGAGACTAGTACTAATTACCTATAATCTTATTAATTTGATAAAATATCAATAATTAATTTAGTATTGTGCATTTCGTTAACATACAAACTGTTCGTACATAGTTATTGTATTGATCATCATAGTATTTATTGTTATTATTTTTCGATTTATATAAAAAATATAATACGCATAACATAATAATTATGTTATAATTGTGGAAAAAAAAAGATTTTAAACATTTATTTCATTCATAATTAACATTGAATAAAAATTAAACAGTTGTTATTGAAAGTAGAATTCAAATTTTATTTGATTAGTGTCGAAAGACATTATGAACATTTTGAATAGTTTTATGATAGAAAACCTGTGATAATCCATGTGCAATATAGTAAAATGTACACCCATAAAAGTAGTATTGCTTAAGCAAAAATATTATTTTAATTATTATAGTCAGATGTGTAATTAAATTTTTACTGTCTAGGTTTAAAATATTTCTCATATAATTCAAATTTTAACGGATAATTTTGGGAAAATATACAGTGATCGAAATAATAATAATGAGTGACACATTTACATTGAAAATCGTATTGGAATTCTAACTCTTTAATTTTAATAAGAAATATTTTTATTTTCTTAATCTATTTTTGATAATTCCAACAGTTGATTAAAAAATAATTTAAGTATTGTAGCATTACGCCGCTACAGCTTTTAGTACTTTTTATCAGTTGCAAGAAAGTCCGCTGGACATTGCTGTTTGACAAATTTTATTCAAAAGAATATAAATTAATGTATTTTTTTTATTTTTATCATATTTATCATAATGTTGGTAAATTATTTTATGTTACATATCAGTCTTAACGGGAACTCGAAAATGTAATAGGAAATTAGAATACGCATTTATTCATTGGAGGGTATTAAAAAAATAAATTATCGGTGGGCGATCGTTCTACACTACTCAGGTGGTGACTGGTAGTACAAAGTACACCGTCACTACTTGTACAATATCTCTATTAATTTTATTATTCTTCTAATAATTTTTTTTTTATTACGTTGTTCATAACTAAACGTTACCAACCCTGATCAAAATTATATAATTTAAAAATTCTTTACTTTAAAAGTTAGTACAATCTTCAACGGTGATCATAACCATCGTGTTATCAACCGTGATCGAGATTACTAGCTTTTCCTAAGTATTCCTTTTTAATCCTTTGAAACGGTTCTCGTAATAAACGCTTTATCAACCGTGATCCAAAGGTTTAGATTCCACCTCTTACATTCAGTTCATCTTCAACGGTGATCATGACCTCCGTGTTATCAACCGCGATCAAGATAACTGTCTTTTTGTAAAAATCCTCTTAACCTTTTGCAACGGTGTTCGTAACTGCTCGATACCAACCGTGATACAGAGGGTTTTATTTCTACTTTCACCATAAATTAAATAGTTTCTAAAGTAAGACTGATATGATAGTTAGCTGTTTAATATATATATATTCATCTTTTTTAAATAAAACATAACAAATCGATTATTTGAACAATTTGCGTTGTATTTTCATATTTAAAGTTAGTAAAAAATAAATTTAAAAGAGATCAAACGTAGAAACGTTTCAGTATTCCTTCAAGTTACCTAAATTATTATAATTCGATGTATATTATTGATCATTTTTATTTTTTTTTTTTTTTTGTTATATATTTTATTAAGAAATTTAAAAGTGTTTTGGTAAAAATATGATTTATTCAAAAAAAAAAAAAACACTTCTTACATAAATGAAAAATATTGCTTTTTACTTTGTCATGCAATTAAGACATTTCAATGCTAAACCTTTCACACCAGTATGGTTTTCATACAAGTCTATTCTTTTTTTCAATAACCATGCTGAAATTAAATAAAATGTTGGTTAAATCATGTAATGAAAATGTTTAATTGAAGTTTAATACGCACCTTCGTAGCAAACATTATCTATACCTTTTAAACTTTTTAATATAGAATCTTGTACTTCTTCATTAGGAAGAACATTTACGATGACGTGCATAAAAAAAACTGTAGGGATTATTCCGGTTTGATTTCTATCATGTTTCTTAAAACCAACATAGAGTCTACTAAATGTAGGAACCCAATCACTTGGAATTGGGTAATATTGATTATTCATAATTTGTCTACAAATTCGTACGTTTATATGTTCCCCTTCTAAAAAATACAAATAAATAATTTAATTCTTACTTTCAAAATGATTAAGCAGAGAATACTTTGTTCCTGTTAACAAATTGAACAAAAATAAAAAATATTTCAGTAAAACTAATTTTAAAACTAAAATTTGAATGAAAATTCGACACAATTTCAAATTGCGATTATTTTAACATAATCAAAAACTACTTTAAGGAAATTCGCATCTTAAATTATTTTGAAAATGTTTATAAATAACAACTTATATAATATATAAACGAGCAGCGCTCGTAATTTCATGCTAAAACTAATAAACTAAAAAAAAGCGTGCAAATATGCATTAAAAACTANAACTAATAAACTAAAAAAAAGCGTACAAATATGCATTAAAAACTGATAAAATATGCACTAAACATGGGCGTAAGGTGATCAAATTTTTTTGGGAAGAGGGCTAAATATAATTTCCCCGTCAAAAAAATAGTTTTTAAATAACAATGACTATCACTTTGCTAAATTTTGGAAGGCTAATTTGTAAACTAATGAGCAAAATATGCACTAACGAACTTCATATTTTTATTAATATTGTTATGAAATGGATTTGTAGCTCATTTAGCATGTTTTTCAAAGAAGCAAAAAAAAAAAAAAACATGCAAATGCATGAACTCATGAGCCTTGATAATAAGTAATAATAAAATAGTACATATTTATAACAATTATTTTCCCTTTAATTTCCTAATATTGATCACCTTATAATAAGTATGGTTACACAGCACCTTTCCTTCTATGAAAGGGTACACCATAGCTCAACTGTTATAATACATACGTTAGCCAAGGAAGGCATATCCTCTATGGTGATAGACATCATGTCACATAACCATAGTTGAGTTAATATGCCGCCACCGCTTGATTGCACCTCACACTTTACACATTTCTCATTTCTCACTGTTTATTTTATATCTACTTATAGTTAAATTCTAATTTAAATCAAAATGAAAAAATTATTTTTATTGATCCTGTCTGGGACTCTAATTTATTTTTAGGAGAATTAAATTAAAATATAATTTAAAAAGTGTAACGTCACAAATTCAAAGGTGTACCCTTTATGAATTTTGTTATGTCTAATTATTTATTATTAATCACGCAAGAGATTGCACGAATGAACCTTTTTCTGACACAGCGGTGTCAAAAACTCATTATTTTTGCCGCTGACCGTTAAATAATGCGACAAAAGAGAATAAATTTAATTAAAATTGAATTGTTTATGATATTGATCCCTCCCAAAATGACTGGTTAATAAATTGGATGTGTTCCAATACCGGCCGTGATGTTTGTTATATTATTTAATTTTGTTTAAGTATTTATTTTATTTTTGCAGCCTCATTTGTAGACATAGTTTTTGATACACTCTCTTTTTCATTCATGTTTAGCTTAATTTTCTTTTAATTAATAATTAAATTTAATTTCCTTATTAATTTTGACTGTAATATTTATTTTATTGCACGAGTAACTTAAGTACTCGTGTATATTTTATCCTTGCTCCTTATCTAGACACGGACTGGGGTATGTAAAACATACAAACAGCTTGCAACTTCAATTATAATAGTTGTGGTTAATAAACTACGATGTGTTATAATCATTTATACATGTAAAGAATAATTAACTTAAATTTAACTATTAATTAACTTAAAAATAACTTCAACCTATAGTTCGATAATCATATCTGATAGTTTTGACACCTCATCTAGGTGGTGATGACCTTTGCTACTATAGCTAGTCGATATGCAAGTGACAAACCACGTTGTTGTTGCAGACCTACAAAAAGTCCACTTGCAAACCAAAAGATATTTGTAGTTAGAAGTAAGGATTTAATTAATGAGAAGTTACGCGAAGTGTTTTTGGGATTTTCGAATGTTGAAGTAATTACTTTGACATTTATATTTTAAGGTATGGAGGTTTGCGTAGTATAATAAATACTCTATATAAATAGTAGTATAATAAATATATAGTATGTATAAATTGTTTTTAGTATTAGTATCAACTGTACAAATAACACTTGGAGTTTATTTTGCTATTATATTATCCATATAAAATAAACTAGTACATTATGAAATGTCATTTTAAAAGTGTTAAGCAATATAAATTAAACAGTTTTAAGTCCCTGATAGCATTTTTCAAAAAAATAATGTTATACCAATATTTATATAACATTATTTTTTAAAATTGCTACTTGGGGTGAAAATAAAACAAAAACATAAAAGCTGCAAATACAGTATATCGTAAAACGTAATAAAAATATTAAAGTAAACTTCCTTACTATCGAATATTTTCAATTTTTTAATAATTTCATTTACGTTTTTGTCTTCAATTTCCTGCAATTTTTCTATAAATTTTCCAATGCTAATCATATCATATTCAGTTAAATATTGAAATATATTTTCAAATTTTTCGATTTCCTTAACTTTCTAATCATTAAATTTAAAAAAAACAAGTATAAATCACTTTAAATAAATTAGAAAATAAATTATTTTATGGTATGTGATATAATTTATGTATTTTACTATTTGATATTAAAATAATCGAACAGTGGTGTTTCGCACAAGGCATCTAGAACGTAGGACGGCTAGTTGTGCACAGCACTAGAATGCAGTCTTACCTTATCCCTTTTTAAATCACCTTTATTGAAGCGGAAGGGAAGTCAGCTGAGAGGATGACGGCTAACCTCACATCAAAAATGTAACGAGAATAGACAATAATTAAATAACAAATGACCACTTGTATAAGAAGTAATTCAAAGAGTATCTTAAATTTAAGAGGTAACGGGAGTCCTTTAAATACTAATGGCCGGCAAAACAGCATAAAACAAAATAATTAAACTCAATAAAAATAAATAATAAATAACTTTCAAAAATAATATAAACTCAGCTGAATAAATGAATTGTTGATATTGGTGAGTGGACTGTATGTGATCTTTTGGTGATGGTGTTGAACATGTGAGTATTGCGAGTAGAGTGTAGATCCAGGCACGTAGTGGCAGGTGAAAACGGACGCAGAAAAAGCGACAACGGCAATGAAGTTATTTAGTGATGGTGAGGACCCAATCAATGATTGCGGTAAAGGGCATGAGAATTTTGAGCACAAGGTTACAACAAACAAATGATAAAAATAATGGCGGACAATGGCCGAATAATTAACCATTTAAACGAAGGCGTTTGCTAAAAAAAAAGATGGCATATTGACAATTGACTTACTGACATGCGACGATGAAATTTTTACGGATGACAATTGACACGTTATAGCATGTAAATCTTTTAATCTTAAGAAGATGATTGCCTGCTTAATAAATTATTGGGGTTTTTATATACTTTAAGGAACAAAGAAAGTAGACGGAGTGAAAATAGTGAAAAACGCCTAATTAATAAATATAAATAAAAAAAATAAATTATGTATTTTTTAATCAATCTTAAATGTATGGGTCAAGTAGGTGTAACTTACATACTAATATGTTAAATGTAATAATTGGTAGATATGAACAATAAATTAAAATCAATGAACCGCTTTATTAAAATTGTTTGAAAAGAATTATAAAGTGGTCGTAATGTACTATTTTTTGTGTTGTATTTTTAATAATTAATTTATACAGGATGATTTTTTTATCATAACCCACTCAATTACTTGCAGAATAATAATAATTTAAACATTTTTTTTTTTTATTATCTTTAGTTACACATTATTCTTGAATTTTTAACTATGTAATACTTTTTAAGTTCATCCCTTATGCCTTGGAGGGGGGTCAACTTTGTTTTTTTAAACGGTAACACATATTTTTAATTTAATAAAATGTTTGAGTTTTTAATTTAATANCAACTTTGTTTTTTTAAATGGTAACACATATTTTTAATTTAATAAAATGTTTGAGTTTTTAATTTAATAGTAAATGGCATTTGAATTTTTAATATAACTTAATTCGTTTATTAGATATAATCATTTAAAGTTTCAAATTTTTGAATTAATATACAGGTATAATACACAAGGGATTACAAATACAGGTAGCTAATTGGTTTTTTATAACATCGATATTAGCAGGTAAACATCATTGTTATTATCAATACTAGTAAGGCACATTGTTATGAGTTTATAAATACACTAACTGACAATACAGAAAGTATATCTATTGATAATCATAATTGATAATAAACAATCCGTGACTGAGACAGCAATGTCATAAAAATCCAATTAGCTACCTGTATTTACAATCCCATGTGTATTATACATGTATATTAACTCAAAATTTTGAAACTTTAAATGTTTATATCTAATAAGCTAATAAAGTTATATTAAAAATTCAAATGCCATTTACTATTAAATTAAAAACTCAAACATTTTATTAAATTAAAAATATGTGTTACCATTTAAAAAAACAAAGTTGACCCCCTTCCAAGGCATAAGGGATGAACTTAAAAAGTGTTACATAGTTAAAAATTCAAGAATAATGTGTAACTAAAGATAATGAAAAAAAAAATGTTTAAATTACTATTATTCTGCAAGTAATTGAGTGGGTTATGATAAAAAAATCACCCTGTATACTAAAACGAACAATATGTAATTTTTGAATAAAGAGACAAAAACAAATTATAATATTGAATAAGTAGCTTGATTTTAATGAGTTGTAATAATTATTGATTATATAGACATGATATTAATTAATTATTTAACATATTAAAAAATTTAAAGTAACACTTTCTTTCACTTTTTTTTATTTTAAATATTATATTATCAATATTTTATGCCTAATACCCTATACTTTGTATTATAGTACAGAATATAAAGAAGAATCTACATCTTAACCTCTTTTTTTCATTATTTTAATATTACATTAGAAACTTTAAAATAAAATATTTCATTATTTATATATTGTATGAATTGATATTTTTCTTGTTAATATTATAAAGAGGGTCTAGGATTAAAGAGGCGTATAAATCAATTCCTTACTTTCCAAGGGAGAAAAATAAAATTTTAATATCTTTTTAAGCTAATGTAATCATTTAACTTCTTAAAAAAATATACCATCTAAATTTTTTTTATTTTAATAACTGTAAGTACGATAATTTGTTTTTTTTAGGCGAGTGTAGTAAGAAGTTTCTCAGCCTTAAAATTTATTCTATCTGACCTAATAAATTCTTTAAAAAGTGAAATCCTAGAAATAATTTTTATTATAAGAGGAAATTCTTAATATATTTTACATTATCCATCATAACAATAAATTTATTAATTTATAAAATATGTCGGTTTTTTAATTTATTTAAAAAAAATAAGTTTAAATATATTTGATAAATTTTAAACATATCAATGTCGAAATATTTATTTTCATGCTGTAGGCATTTTTATGCTCTATGTCAGCAATTAAATAAGTTAATTATACAAGTAAATTTAAGTAAAAAAAATTACCACACTTTTACTGATTTGTTCGACACTTAAACTTTCATTTCCCAAAATTAACGTTTTTTCTTTAGCCTGGTAAAATATAATATTTTTATTGTATTACGTCGCAATACAAGTTTTAATAATAGTTTCACAAGTTTCTTTTGTAAATAATTTTTGATTTTATTTATAACTGATATATATATTAAATTAATATTAAATATTAAACACATACACAGTGGTGTATTAATAAATTATATAAATCCATAAGTTTTAAAATGTTACTTAAAATTAAAAATATTAATTTAAAATTTTTAGGTCAATCACAGTGGGAAATTTTCGAACAAAAGATGTACTAGGTGAATAAACATAAATTCGAAACAATAAAAGAAACAATTTCAAAATTTGCTTTGAGAACACAAAAATAAAAGAACAATAAATCATTTTAATAATAGTTTACTCATTTTATTTTCTAAAAAATGAGGAGAAGATTTAGTCAAGAATTACACCAACGTTGTGTTTTTCAATGAAAAAACACAAATACCAATATTCAAAAAATATTAAGTTGGTTCTTAAAATAAATTTTACACCGAACAATTTTCGGATGGGTGATCATCTAAAATTAATAATTGAAGAAAAGTTCAAGTTTTTCAATAAAGACTTTTCATGAGTAGATTTGAAATAAATTTAAAAAATACTTATGGAAAATTTGAGTTAGGGTATGTAAATGATATTTTTAGTAATAAAGACAGATTATAATACGGTGGACTTTATACAATATTTAAATTAATTTTACCTATCCATTAAATTCACGTACAAGAAGAAAGTAGAGGAAGGATTGGATTTATTAATTAGAAAAGTAGAGATAACTAAATTTTGAAATGAATCGGAAAAACACATACACATTCCGAACGATTTGAACCATAGCTGACAACTCAATATGTAAGCTTTAATAGTAAACTTTACAGATTAGTTAATATTTTGATGAGTAAAATAAAATTTGATAAAGAACTGTGGATTACAAGAGAAATTGATTTAATGGATATAACGAAATCGTAATATCAAAATTATTCCAACCACCAAAACGGAATAAAGAAAGGAAAGCAACTTGCTAGTGAACTAGCTAATGGTCACACTGTATCATTTATTACTTTATGTTAAAACGTTACTTGTTTAAATATTTCTCCTGTTGTTGGCCCAATATGTTTGATTGGTTTACTTTTGAGTTTTTCAATTTTATCAATAAGTTCCGAACAACCACTGGTCTAGTAAACAGATCATTTTTTAATTAAAGTTGAAGAATTCAACTGTAAATAATGAATTTTTATTTTAATTACCGAACTTATCACAAAAGAAGATTTAACACATAATAGCAAACCAAAATAAATTACACAGTTCATTTTGCAATATTTTTAATAGAATATTAAATAGACTTGGTAATAAAACAGTGTACCTATCTTTTTATATTGAAAGTATAAATTTATTAAAAAAACCTTAAATTGTAATGTAGATTCATACAAATGTTTAAAAGGAAAAATATATTTTTGTTATTTTTATTAGTCACGTACAAATTTAACTGTAAAACATGCAATCGTTGTAATAAATTAAACTTGTAAATAACAAATTTTAAAGCTATACAATCTAAATATTAAGAAGCTACAGAATGTAATAAGATTGTTCATTAAAAAGATAATTATAAAGTATTTTAAGAAGGAACTCGCTATAGAAGGCTAACTGAATATTAGCATTTTTGTTCAGACATAACACAAAATACAAACTGTAGTTTTTTCCAAAGGTTGGAAGTAGTACACTACTTTTACTGACGTTAAAGCAGTACACTAATTTGTTTGTAGTTGTATCAAGAGCAAATAATTTTTGTTAGAACTAGCGTTAAGTAAAATTAAAACTATATTAAAAATATTATTAATTTAAAAAACTAAAAAATATTAAACTCAAAGCCACAAAAAATTAATGAAAAGTCGCGAATACGTATTTCGGAAACAATGTTACCATTATGAACGCTAAAGACATACAACACCCCGACTAGAAAAAACTCCCTTATATACCCCTAGTCACCTTATCACCTAGTGACGTCATCACTAAGTAATATTATCACATTTTGCCAGTTTACACAAGTTTAATAATGAATTTTTCAGTGGGCCAAGATCCCAATTAATTAAATTGTTTTTATTTTTAAACATTTCTATTGCTTCTCTGATATTAAGTTCTTTGTAATTATTTACGTTTTTAATTAGTTTTATGGTTCTAACAATAACAGAATCTAGCAATAAAACTCATATATTTAGAAAAAATCGTAATATGATCGAGCTACCTCAGCTATAGCAATAAAACGATCGGTTCAATAAAATTTTTACTTATTACTTTTATTTTGTAAAATTTAATTTTAAACAAATTTTGTATGAAATAATAGGTTCTATCACATATGGTTCGTCAGATATGATGAAATATTAATAAATATACCAATTTCGACAATTTTACGAAATATTACGTATTTTGACATTTTTCTGTAAAACTAATGGATTTAGAAGAAAAACTGTTAGAACTTAATTTATACAAAACGGCATAGTGGAGACATTGCATAGTTGGAACCAGTATAGTTTTAATCTGAAAGTGATTAAAATCACTATCATAAGAAACGCTTCGATGCAAATCTGTAGATAGTGTTTAATTTTAAAAAATTGATGGATAATTGCAAAATCAACATCAACTTCTATTAAAATAAAATACAAAACCCATAATTTTAATACAAAAATAGCATATTTTTGAATACGGCAGTCATTTGCGTATAGAAGATAGGTCGTCGGGACAAATTTTTTTTTTCATTTTGTAGTACATAAAATAAGCTTTAATTTTATATATGTTTAAAGGACGCAGTATTTCCGGAACATTTTCAAAAATTAAGTTGAAAAAGTTATTGTTTGTAAAAAAGTTACTATTTTAAATCCCCCCAGTGAACAGAATAAGTGGTAGATTTTCAAAAAAAATTATATCAAATGAAAGGGAAATATCTAAGGTTTCAATACAAAAAAATATTATTTTTATTTGTTCATTTTTGAAAAAGTTATGGCAGTTTTAAGTACAAAAAACATCCCGATAAAAGGTAATTTTTATCGCAAACATTACATTTTTTTTTAATTTTCGACAGCCATTTGCACATAGAAGATAAGATGTCGGGACAAATTTTTTTTTTTCATTTGATAGTATATAACATAACCTTTGATTTGATATATGTTTAAAGGACGCAGTATTTCCGGAACATTTTCAAAAGTTCAGTTGAAAAAGATCTATGTTTTTTACAATATTTTAAGTTTTGAACGCCCCCTATATAAGGGGAAATTGTCCAATTTTAATAAAAAGTATGTCAAATGAAAGATGTACTTATAATGTATTTAGAAAAAAAAAATTTGTGCTGATATATACATTTTTCAAAAAGTTATAGCATTTTTAAGTTGAAAATTTAAAATCGAAAATCGAAAATTTTAACACAAAAATAGTGTTTTTTTAACTACGGCAGCCGTTTAAATGTAGAAAAAAAAGTGTCGGGACAAATTTTTTTTTTTCATTTTGTAGTACATAAAATAAGCTTTAATTTGATATATGTTTAAAGGACGCAGTATTTCCGGAACATTTTCAAAAATTAAGTTGAAAAAATTAATTTTTGTAAAAAAGTTGCCATTTTAAATCCCCCCCAATGAGCAGGTTAAGTGATAGATTTTCAAAAAAATGATATCAAATGAAAGGTAAATATCTAAGGTTTTAGTATAAAAAAAAATTATGTTGATTTGTTGATTTTTCAAAAAGTTATGGAAGTTTTAAGAAAAAAAAGTGAAAAAATTTCGAAAATTAGCGATTTTTAAATTTGTAATTTTTTTGGATATTTCCCCCATTTGCGGGGAACGAGGGAATTTTTTTCAATTTTTAAGGGTAATGTCTTCAACTAGATACGATTTGTGATCTTTTGACGTATTTTTGAAAGAAATCGGTCCAGTGAGAGCTGAGAAAAAGTGGCAACAGACATAAAAAAAAAAAAAAACACATCATAGTAAAATTAATACCTTCTCCGCTTCGCATCGAAGCTAAAAAAAAATAAACACATCATGGTAAAATTAATACCTTCTCAGCTTCACATCGAAGCTAAAATGTAAAAATTTGTAAATGGTAGGTATAATAAAATATTATAAGATGGTAGGTAGGTTTATGGAGATTAATAATGGAGGATAAAATGGTGGTGATGTGGATTTCACTATTGAAGTTGTGAATGCTTATATTGTACCAAAAGAAAATCTAAGGGTTTATTCTTAGTCAGACCAAAGATATAATATAGCGTATGTATGGCCGAATAATAATAAAAATTATTGAATAAGATGGTAAAAGGCGGAGTAACACATTTTTAAATGTGGCAAGATATGTAAGGGTGCAAAGAATATAATAATATGAATAAAGAAGAATTCAGAGGGGTGAATAAACGCAGTTTAAATACATGAGGGTAATGATCAAATAAATAAAAATGCACACAAACGTTGTGACAAAAATAAAGAACTGATCTCGGGGNCAAAAATAATGAACTGATCTCGGGGTTGAACAATATTGAATAAATGAAGTCAATTATCCTACCAAACTTTATTACCTATCTTAATGGTTTATTACGCAATATAGTATTTATAATTTGAAAGCGGGAATTTAAATTTGTACTTACCTTGTATCCCACGTAGTGTAATGCTTATTTTAGATAATCCAATGTTGATTATGAGTTCACACTGTATTTTACACGTTANACATACATACATACATACATACATACATACATACATACATACAGGTGAAACTAATATAAGGGTGTTAATAAAGCGTTTAATTATAAATAATACGAAACCGTTACACAAAATCTATGACTGTATTATTATATGCAAGAGATTCTATACACTCTATATTTTTATAATTATAATCAAATAAGGTATATTTAGTTAACTTTGTAGAATGAGTATATTGTTTGAGAGATTATATTTTATTGAGAGATCGACACCAATATTTCTTAAATTTTCCTCTGGCCTGGCCAAAACAAGATTCAGAAATATTTATATCTATGTAAAAGATTTGTCAGGGCGGAATTGTGGTGGCCCAATGTGTCCCGGTGCTAAATTAAAGCACCTTGAAAGGATGCGGCACAATAATCACCAAGACAAAAATTAAACACTAAAAACATATATTTGTAAGTTTCTCTGTGCTGTCTGCCGGCGCGATGTTTGTTAAGACAAAGACATTAAACCACAGAAGATTAGCTACCCAATACACATAGGCTTACAAATATATTCTAACCTAACACCTAACTTTAAAAATATTTAATTGCAACCTTTACTCTGTCTGCCGGCGCGANTTAAAAATCTTTAATTGCAACCTTTACTCTGTCTGCCGGCGCGATGTTCGTTAGAACAAAGACATTAAACCACAAAAGATTAGCTACCCAATAAGTATAGAGTTGCAATACACTTAGTCATATAATAAATATTTATCATTAACTGAGAAAATTAGAGTTGATTCGATTTTATTATAAATATAAAAAAATGTTTTATTTTAAAATATTATTTGACATTTATTTCCATGGTAAAATAAAAATAAAATATTATTATTTAATGAACAAATTAAATTAAATTAAAAGATTCGCCAAAACAAAGTTCACTTTAAAATCTCTAAGTGTCATTTAGTTTTAAAGAAAAATATACTAAGTCCAAATAAATTAAAAAATCGACTAAGTCCCAGAGAGTAAGAATCTTGAATAGAGTGTCGCAGATTTTGTGTATTTTAAAATCGCCGAAAGAACTGATTTTAATAGGAAAAAATGGGTTTTTATAGTAGACGAGGGTCCTGTAGCGATCCCTAGTGTGATCTTAGAAACTGTAGATCTTAATTAATAGTTAAATGTGATTGGCTGGAGCTAAATAAAAACCCGCACATGGGCGTTACTCTGAATCTGTACGATAATCAGATTTAATTGCCTGATTTATTGATATTTTAAGTTTTAAATAAGAGAACTCTGTTTTGGCGATCTTGTGAATTCACAATATATGACATACATGTACAAAAGATAACATAATATAATATTTTAATATTATAAGTAATAATATAATATTACAAATTGAGTGGGTTATGATAAAAAAATCACCCTGTATATACCTTGTGTATATATTTTTTTTAATTATATTCAATCATATAATGACCCTGGTGTTCAAAAATATGCATCATTATGTAAGCCAATGAATATATATCCTAAAGAATTACACTAATAAATTCAAAGATATTCCGACACTGTTTGTTCTATTTCTATTAAGTATTTTTTTTTAAATTATTATGTTTACACATTTGACATTATTTTATGTCAGAATCAAAATTAAATTATGAATAATATAATGTAAAAAAATGATAATGCAGTTTATTTTAGGTATTAAAAAACAGTATTCAAAC